GATTTTTAAAATAATCGTTAGTTGCAGCCCTAAATCAAATGTTGCATTCATTCATTTAATGCTTCAATTATCAATTTTGTTTTAAATTTAAGTCCTTCTTAAATACCTCAGGACTCTCATCACAACTTGGTATCTCCCATCTCCCGTTCATAGTCCTAAATGTTCTGCTGGTTCCATTCTTGTCAAATCAAGCAAGACATTGACAATGGATAGCAGATAGAGGGAGCAGGAACTGGTGTTCTTTACTTGATCATTTATCAGTCTGTTCTATGTTTAAGTTTTCTTCTCTTCGACATTTAAACAATTTTAATGAACCAGAAATAAGCTGGAGATAAAATATTAGACCAGATCCAATAGATCAGCCAACGGCATTTTTTGAAATGCAACGTTTTTAATACACCTTAAGACCTGCTGTTGCCATGGTGATAGCACAGCTTTTATTTTTGATATAAAGAAAACAAAAAACTTTGAAGTGTCTCCTTTTATCCTACCAGAAATAGAGACCTAACTACTTTACTGTGTTGTGGAAACCTTGGGGCCAGTTTGGCTTTTTAGGGCATAAAATTATGGAGTTATTTGTTTCATAATTTTTTTTAAGTGAAGAACATGTTTTGTATATGGCTAAAGAAAAAAAATGCAAGCAATTAATTTTATAGTTTTATATTTTCATTTCATATGTTATTTTTTTAAATCTCTCTTTTTCATACTTGCCTTCTTTTTAAATTGTGTTTTCCAGATCACATTCTCTTCCCTTCTGGGGGCGGGGCTTTCCTTCAGAGACGTATTTCTATTGGTTCGCTGGACGTTAGCAATAGCATTGTCATTGAGTTCCGTTTTTGTTTTTGGATCAAGGTCAAGGGACTGGGATCTGTAAAACACGAAATGAAATCAATCAAATATCTTAAAAAAGAAAGAAGAATTTGAAAAACTAAAATCTAAGAAAATAACAAAGTAACTATTTTTATTTATAAAAGTTTTATTTATATATTGCATTTTTTTATAATTTCCATTTCTAAAACATGTTTTTACACTTGAAACAATAATGGAACAAATTTCACTCCGTATCGGGTCTTTACTCCACTAACACACACAGCAGCTGACCCCTCCCCCTCTAGTTGCTGTGGCCTCTCGATAAAAAAAAAAAAAAAAAAAAAAAAGTTTATTTCAGACCAAATTTTAGAGCAATTAAACTTTTTTATAGTCTGTCTAGTTTTGGTGACAGAATCTCTTCCTCCCTGTGTGTCTGTTCTACCTGCGGTTCAGGGCATTACGTTTAAAGCGGAACACTACAGCGAAGTGGTGGCTAAAGGTGAGCTGGTGTACCTGACCTCGGACTCCCCCAACGTGCTGGAGGAGCTGGACCAAAGCAAGGCCTACGTGATCGGAGGCCTGGTGGATCACAACCACCACAAGGTGCGCCCCGCCTCCTGCTGCCGCCGCCAGCACATCGGCTTTATTCTCGTAATTTTACGACTTTTTTCTTGTAATCTTACGACTTTATTCTCGTAAATTTACTTTATTCTCGTAGTGTTACGACTTTATTCTTGTGACTTTATTCTCGTAATTTTACGACTTTATTCTCGTAATCTTACTTTATTCTTGTAGTGTTACGACTTTATTCTTGTGACTTTATTCTCATAATTTTACGACTTTATTCTCGTAATCTTACTTTATTCTCGTAGTGTGACGACTTTGTTCTTGTGACTATTCTCGTAGTGTTACGACTTTATTCTTGTTACTTTATTCTCGTAATTTTACGACTTTATTCTCGTAATCTTACTTTATTCTCGTAGTGTTACGACTTTATTCTTGTGACTTTATTCTCATAATTTTACGACTTTATTCTCGTAATCTTACTTTATTCTCATAGTGTTACGACTTTGTTCTTGTGACTTTATTCTCGTAGTGTTACGACTTTATTCTTGTGACTTTATTCTCGTAATTTTACGACTTTATTCTCGTAATGTTACTTTATTCTCGTAGTGTTACGACTTTATTCTTGTGACTTTATTCTCATAATTTTACGACTTTATTCTCGTAATGTTACTTTATTCTCATAGTGTTACGACTTTATTCTTGTGACTTTATTCTTGTAATTTTACGACTTTATTCTCGTAATGTTACTTTATTCTCGTAGTGTTACGACTTTATTCTTGTGACTTTATTCTCATAATTTTACGACTTTATTCTCGTAATGTTACTTTATTCTCGTAGTGTT